AAGGTCCGGCATCCATTCTGCGGAATGAAATTCTAACACTGGTTTGCCCTTTTCTTCCATGAACTGTTCAATTTCTTCTCGTAAATCAAAGAAACGCCTCAGCACAGCACCTCGGCTTAACCATCTTACCTCAGTGTGGTATGGCAGGCCATAGATGTCGTCTTTCTCTCTGAGAAGGCTGTCAAACTGACGGTGATTCAGGCTTCTGGATCGGATGAAATTAACAGTTTGGATGACCACCTTCATGACGTTATCCATCTTTAATGACTTGCAACACAAAGCCTCCTGGTGCAAAATACAGTGAAAAGTCAAAAAATCACGTCCTCCATTTGCAGATTGCACTTTCTCTCTGAACTTTCTGTCACAACGCCTGCTTTTTTCCCGATCATTGAGGGCGCACCATCTGTAGCCAGGCTGACAGCGCGGGACCAGTCCACTCCGACCCTGTCCAGCGCGCCGACGAGTGCGGTAAAAATATCAGCTGCTGTCGTTGTATCTGTCATCGGCACCAACTCCACGAACTCCTCGGTGACGGTCAATGTGTCATCAACTCCGCGGATGAAAAAATGGCCAGTTGTGCAACATCTGTAATGTCCGTGCTTTCATCAATTGCAACCGAAAACGCAATAAATGACTTTACTTTTTGCTTCAACTGGCTGTCCAAATCCACTGAAAGATCGGAAATCCTGTCTGCAACTGTGTTTCTTGTCAGGCTGATATTTGCAAAAGCCTGCCGCTTTTCAGGGCACACAATCTCCGCTGCCTTCATCATGCATGTTTTTACAAATTCACCCTCACTAAATGGTTTTGAAGCCACTGCGATTTCATTAGCAATGAGGTAGCTAGCTTTCACTGCAGCGTCACTGATGTCTCGGCTGTGAGTAAACACAGACTGCTGTTTCTTCAGACCCGCCAACAGTTCATTCACCTTCTCTCATCTCCGCTGTCCTTGAAAGTTGTCATATTTGTCGGCATGAAGACTCACATAGTGGCGACGAAGGTTATATTCTTTCAGCACTGCAACATGCTCTGAACACACCAAACATACAGCTTTCCCATTCAATTCCGTGATTAAATAGGATGACCATTTTTCTTGGAACACTCTGAACTCTGCGTCCACTTTTCTCTTTTTTGACAGAGACATATTGGGGCAATGAGGGTGCCAAAGCACATAATGTTAAAAGTAGAAGCCGTAATAAATATCGCGGGCAAAACAAAGTAGCTCATTGGCTGCACGTGCTTGACCTACTTGCTCTGCCCCGGTATAAACAGTTTGCTTGCTTAACACAATTGCTATTGCGCCATCCAGTGGACGCAATTGGAACAGCAGTTTATTTTATTGAAAAATTGCAGCGCATTTTTATACTTAAAAAAAAAAAAAAAAAACGTTTTTTTATTTTATTTTTTATATTTATTTTCAAAATCATCTCGCGGGCCGGATTAAACCCGTTTGCGGGCCTGATCCGGCCCCCGGGCCGTACGTTTGACACCCCTGGCTTAGTGGGACTATCATTTGTTTTTCAACAGGACAATGACCCAACACACCTCCAGGCTGTGTAAGGGCTATTTTACCAAGAAGGGGAGTGATGGAGTGATGCATCAGATGACCTGGCCTCAACAATCCCCCGACCTCAACCAAATTGAGATGGTTTGGGATGAGTCGGACCGCAGAGTGAAGGAAAAGCAGCCAACAAGTGCTCAGCATATGTGGGAACTCCTTCAAGACTGTTGGAAAAGCATTCCAGGTGAAGCAGGTTGAGAAAATGCCAAGAGTGTGCAAAGCTGTCATCAAGGCAACAAAGGGTGGCTATTCTACAATGTAGAAAGTAGTAAAAAATAAAGAAAAACCCTGGAATTAGTAGATGTGTCCAAACGTTTGACTGGTACTGTAGCTGGGAGGGCTTATTTGCAGCAAAAGTAAAGGAATGAAATCCCTATTGTACAATTCTTTTTAGGAATTACCGCTTTTCCGTAAGTAAAAAAAATGCAGTGAAAACAGGACAGACTACACAACCATTGTTTCAACAGAGGCTTCAAAACAGCTATATTTACATTTACATTTTAGTCATTTAGCAGACGCTCTTATCCAGAGCGACTTACAGTTAGTGAGTGCATACATTTTCATACTGTGAACACATCTATATGTGTGACATTATAGAATATTTTGTGAAGGAAATGCTAACTGCAAATGTCTTAGCCATTGATCTCCTCCACATCCAAAGTTTATGCTCTCAAAATTGCAGTCAGTGCAAGAAAGCCTTGTATAGCCAGGGAAAAACACGAATAGTTGAACCAAGTCATATTTCAGACAGGTAGAAAAGTTATCTCTACAAGACAATATGTATACAATGTACAGTATATTACAGTATATTGCATTGGGGGCTATGGAGGGGACAGAGTGAAAAGCCAGCAGCAGGCCGTGCGACATAGTCCCCCTCCAAAACTAACCATATTTGGTTAGTAGAGACCCGACTGAGTATTTCCCACTCCAGTTTATGAGACAGGTTCTTTCTCTACAACCCAATAAGTATCCCATATGCAGTGTATTGCATTGCAGTGAATGGAGTGGGCGGAGTAAGGAGTCACCAGCACTGTGTATTAAACCCTTTGCCCAGCACAAGAGATCAATTTAAGTCATGACTCTATTGAGTCATTCCAATAACATATATTTATATTTCATTAAAAGTGTATTTCTTTAAATATAGCCTACACAATGGCTTTCAACATACCAGTAAAATACGTCAAATTATCCATTCGTTTTTTCCAAAGGAGGTAGCAATGCTGTGAAAAAAACGTTGTACTGCACTAGTGCTAAATTCCCAGTTTAGCATGTCTTTGCAGGGAGACTCTTATTTTGGAAGAAAATAATCCGCGATCGTGCTGCCAGAACAACATCCTGCTGCTACGAGAACGGTAATGAAAGAGGCATGCAAAGGAAGGGGGTTGCCACACTGCTCTATGCAGGGAGAGCCCCTGGCTTTACAGTGTAACAAGTAGGCTAATAACCTGTCAACGTAAATAACGTTTTTGATAACTAAGGTGGCCTTTACAATAGCTTGCACTGTGCAGGATGAGGTTATTTGTTAGGGGCGTTGGCTTGGTGGTCTGGAAAGAGCAGAGACATGTTATTTTGAAACATGAAGGTGTCAAATTTCTAGCTGCCTTTCACCCTTTATAGACCTTGCCCACTAGGTGGCGATATATCCTTGGATCGCCTTGGATTGATGGAAGATGGAACCTCCAATGACTGAACAGGGATTCACTGTAGTAGACATTCTATAGGCTTTGAAATGGATAGGCTAATGAAGTAGACATTTTGAGTCATTTTATGTCATTATTTACAATGACTTTATAATGTTCTTCCGGATTAATTGCACACTATTTTCTGTGATTTAGACCCACAATCCACATAACCCTCAAATAGAGTGGGCCACCAATAAAAATGTAAACAATTGAGCAAATGCATCATAGGTCCTTTGTGTTTTGGTAATGATAAGGTAAGACAGTTGTACTAAACTCAATAAGGTCTTATTCTTTCAAATCAAAGGACATATATTTAATTATTTGAAAGAACTGAAAAATAGAGACTGTGGCTTTTTCAGATGTTTATGAATTATAGGTTACCGCTACAAGATATGAAACACCATTCATTGAGTGTTGTTACCACATCCACAACACATGATTTATGTGGATGACACGCATACTGAAGATGTTTACATCAACAATGATACTCCTTTTTTTTACCTACTGTACTGGAGTGTGGGCCAGAGACCGGGAGAAACTAAATACTACCTGCCAGCCCCGTTGCTCTTTAAAAAAGATAACAAAATATTTGATACTATATCTAATGACGTTCTACTCAATATACTCTTTAAACTAATTTCCTGCATCCCCTTCTCCCTCATACTAGAGCTCAGCCTCTCTCTTTCCCTCTAATACTGCCCACACTGTAGAAATACATGCTCCATGCTCCATGGTCTCTGTTTCCTGGCAATAATCACACTTTCCTGTTGGATGCTTTCCTATCACATTTAAAGTCTTATTCAACCGGCTGTGTCCCACCCTTAATCTTGTTTTAAAAAAATTGCCTCCTCTCTTCTGTCCCTTCCTGCCGTCCTCCCCTCCCCGACTTTCCTCTGTACTTGAAATAAATCCCTGCCCTTAGAATCTCTATTCCACTGCTCCTGCCATCTCTGAACCATCACTGTCCATATCAGGCTTTTTGCCTCTGCCTTGCTCATTGAAACTACAACATCAACACCCCCACTACTAAGTGCTTGTTTAGCCAGTACATCAACTGCCTCGTTCCCCTCCACCCCCACATGGGCTGGGGCCCAAGTAAATATTTTCTGTATCCCCATCTGTCTAATCCTGTCGTGGGTTTGTAGTACCTCAAAGCAGGTATTGTCTGCTATCTGAGATAAAGGACTGCAGACTCATCAACACTGCACATACATCAGAGCAAATAACTAATCTGTCTGGCTTCCTCCACCCACTGCAAGGCCAACAGTATGGCCATCAGCTCCGCCGTATATACAGCCAGACGATCTGTAATACGTTTCCTGACTTCCACCAGACATTAATGCACTACAAATGCTGACCCAGTACGTCCGGTCCTTTGATATTTTGTACATGGCCACAAAATCCTGATATACAGTATCCATACGTCTATTAAACAAATCAGATGGATCAATGCCGTCCCTATCGTTTTATAGTCTCTCCAACACTTCAAGATCAACTACTGGAGGCGGGAGTAGCCATGGTGGATTTCTGCCCTGTCGCAACTAGGGGTAGGTACCTATAGGTACGGGGGCGTGAAGTATTTGAACTCAACGACAAATGCTAAAAGAACTCAGACAGTCAGTGGCAAGTGCCAGGGAGAAGTGACAGTCAAGAACCTCGAGCTTTGGCTAGGTATATATACTATAATTAGGCTCTGTCTGACTAGCGACCGATATAGATTTACCACAGTTTTAGCAAGTTACTTTAGCAGTAGCATAATGTCGTTCATTATGATGAAGAAAAAGAAATTCAAATTTAAGGTAGATTTCGAGTTGGACGAACTATCGTCTGTTCCCTTTGTTAACGGGGTCTTGTTTTGCAAAGTACGGCTCGTAGACGGTGGCTTTACAGAAGAGTCCTCTCGGTAAGAAACTGCCTTTCCTATTTTAAGCAACACACAGAGGTGAGAGCGATTACTGGCAGTAGTGGCATTGTTAGCCAGATACAGCTATATAGTTAGCTAGCTAGCTTCCCCCTTTAACTAGTTAGTTTAGTCATGAAGACAGTGGTGCATGTGAATAATGTGGTATGTGTAAGTTAATAGCTAACAATGTCAATTTTCATTTATTAACGTTATACAATATGGAGCCTAGTATTCCAAATTGTATGTTGTTTTTACCTCTATTTCTTATTTTGATATAGTTTCCATGGTAATTCGTCTGACATCTTGTTTTGACTGATGCTGCTTGTCTGATTGATTGTTCTGACTGAGTGACTGACACAGCAAAACACCACCAGTCACGAGGCCCACTGTCAAACATGGCTAGTAGAAATGTGAGGCTTGCTTGAGCTGTGATATCTGACATTTTATGCAACTTACCTTAAAACTTTGAACAAAACGTCTGGCAAATGAAGGTCAATATTAACGTAAGCTAGATTCCATTTTCCACTCTGACATGCCAAGGAAAAGTAATGTATTTGCTTATCATTTTGTTAAAACCAATATTTCAATATCTCCTACTTCAGACTGGCTAGGGTTTTATTGATCAGACTAGTTGCAAAAACTTGGAAATCATTCATCCCCAATCCAACACTGTTTTCAAGGTAAATTTGGAGATTGTACATTTGGAGATTTACGCGGAGTGAGCTCTATAACAAACACACATTCAACACTTTGCTGGAAAAATGTATATTTAGCTTACAAGTAACATGTTTCAAGAGACCCTTCATATGAGACTTTAAAGGGTGTCCGATACATTTCCTAAAACCTCATTATCCCACTCAAAACATCAGTTGATGCAACAAGAAATACTTGCTCTCCAAGGATCCAGAGCCATTGAGAGATGGCTAGACAGATTGGCTAAAAACTAGTTTCAAATCAGTTAAAGATTGGATCAGTCAAGTCACGTTAACAGCATCTAACTCATTTCTCTCATGTTATCAATTTCTCTCATGTTATCCATTTCTTTCATGTTATCCATTCACCATTCCTTCCTGTTTAGACCCCGGAACATCCCCTCCTCTGAATTCAGGATAGGACTTTGTCCGTGGCATTTGAACACAGACAGACTGTTGTTTTCCCTAGAGAGAGCCAATCTAACAGCTCTAACGGTTCCTTGTGGTATTTTAAGAGATTCACATCATGTCAACCCACTCAACCACACGAGTAGGACTGCACTTAAATGAGTCACTCTGGAAAGTAGTGGACACACAACTGGAGCATGTGCTAGCTCCTAATGGTCGACTCGGTTGGCATTCTCAGAGTTACTTTGCCAAGGCAACTGCCTGCATTTGTCCAATTATGTAAACATACCATACTGTACCTAGCCATTACTCAAGCCATTGTCTTTTCGCAATTTTTAACCTGTGAATAGGTTTTGAATGAGTATCTTGTTATTTAGAAAAATGTTTTTGCTGCTCTATTCATATTATCCATCTTCTTAGGCTCATTCGAACACACACACACACACACACACAAACAAAGGCCATTAGCCTCCTCAGAGTCACTGAATGTGTGATTGAGCTGAAATAATGGAAAAGGCAGCACTATGAGTGATGTGACTATTTAAAAGCCTTTTTTTCTAGAATACCTGTCTGCTTTGGTCGACAGCCGAGGTCTGTTTTACCTCCTTGAACTCTCTCTAAAGTCTAACCGTTACCCAGTTGAGAATTGTGTGTATATATATACACACTACCGTTCAAAAGTTTGGAGTCACTTAGACATTTCCTTGTTTCGAAAGAAAAGCTATTTTTTTGTCCATTAAAATAACATCAAATTGATCAGAAATACAGTGTAGACATTGTTAATGTTTTAAATGGCTATTGTAGCTGGAAACGGCAGATTTTTAATGGAACATCTACATAGGCGTACAGAGGCCCATTATCAGCAACCATCAGTCCTGTGTTCCAATGGCACGTTGTGTTTGCTAATTCAAGTTTATCATTTTAAAAGGCTAATTGATCATCAGAAAACCCTTTTGCAATTATGTTAGCATAGCTGAAAACTGTTGTGCTGATTAAAGAAGCAATCAAACTGGCCTTCTTGAGACTAGTTGAGTATCTGGAGCATCAGCAATTGTGGGTTCGTTTACAGGCTCAAAATGGCCAGAAACAAATAACTTTCTTCTGAAACTCGTCAGTCTATTCTTGTTCTGAGAAATGAAGGCTATTCCATGCGAGAAATTGCCAAGAAACTGAAGATCTCGTACAACACTGCCGACTACTCCCGTCACAGAACAGCGCAAACTGGCTCTAACCAGAATAGAAAGAGGAGTGGGAGGCCCCGGTGCACAACTGAGCAAGAGGACAAATACATTAGTGTCTTGTTTGAGAAACAGACGCCTCACAGGTCCTCAACTGGCAGCTTCATTAAATAGTACCCGCAAAACACCAGTCTCAACGTCAACAGTGAAGAGGCGACTCAGGGATGCTGACCTTCTAGGCAGAGTTGCAAAGAAAAAGCCATATCTCAGACTGGCCAATAAAAAGAAAATATTAAGTTGGGCAAAAGAACACAGACACTGGACAGAGGAAGATTGGAAACAAGTGTTATGGACCGACGATTCGAAGTTTGAGGTGTTCAGATCACAAAGAAGAACATTTGTGAGACGCAGACCAAATTAAAAGATGCTGGAGGAGTGCTTGATGCCATCTGTCAAGCATGGTGGAGGAAATGTGATGGTCTGGGGGTGCTTTGGTGGTGGTAAAGTGGGAGATTTGTACAGGGTAAAAAGTATCTTGAAGAAGGAAGGCTATCACTCAATTTTGCAACACCATGCCATACCCTGTGGACGGCGTTTGATTGGAGCCAATTTCCTCCTACAACAGAACAATGACCCAAAGCACAGCTCCAAACTATGCAATAACTATTTAGGGAAGAAGCAGTCAGCTGGTATTCTGTCTATAATGGAGTGGCCAGCACAGTCACCGGATCTCAACCCTATTGAGCTGTTGTGTGAGCAGCTTGACCGTATGGTACGTAAGTAGTGCCCAATCCAACTTGTGGGAGGTGCTTCAGGAAGCATGGGGTGAAATCTCTTCAGATTACCTCAACAAATTGACAACTAGAATGCCAAAGGTCTGCAAGGCTCTAATTGCTGCAAATGGAGGATTCTTTGACGAAAGCAAAGTCTGAAGGACACAATTATTATTTCAATTAAAAATCATTATTTCTAACCTTGTCAATGACTACATTTCCTATTCATATTGCTGTATTTCCTATTCAAACTAATTTCATGTATGTTTTCATGGAAAACAAGGACATTTCTTAGTGACCCCAAACTTTTGAACGGTAGTGTATATTATATTATGCCATTTAGGAGACGCTTTTATCCAAAGCGACTTAGTCATGCGTGCATACGACAAAGTGTTTCACCTGCATTAATGCTGAAACCCCTTACATATCCCTTGCTCTAAAGAGCCAATGCATAGTGTTCTTCATTCCTGAAGCCTACATCTGTCACTATGAGGGGCCAAAAGTTCAGAACACTGCCATCACATTTCAAAATCTATAACTCACTTAGCCTAGCCTACATCTATTTTTGTGAGACTAATCCATAGGAAGGGAAAGAGCATGGGAAAGTTTGTGTTATTTTACCTTGAAGGCATTTATGTTCCATGTCTGATCTGTCACATCCATTCCAGAGAACGGCACACAGGATCTTCTCATTAACTGTGCTCTTAGTTGACATAGCCCATATTTATCTTAGCCATTAATCAGATCTAGGGATGCATGTGTAGGGTAGCTAAACATTCCAATCAACTGTCACATAGGGGACTGTGTGTGTTTTTTCGTTTTTGTTGTACTGCTACTAACTTTGTGTCTTCTCCAGGGAGCAGGTCCAGGCTAACTGTGTGCGCTGGAGGAAGAGGTTCTCCTTCCTGTGTAAGATGAGTGCCAACGCTGGGACAGGAGTACTGGACCCCTGTGTGTGCCGGGTGTCTGTACGCAAGGTACAGAACTCACTACAACGATGCTGTCAAAGTTATGTCAAGTTCAACTGATTACAAGAATAGGTCTACTACTAGAATATGTCTACCACTTGGTCAACTACAGGCTGTCAAGATGTCAATCACTGTTAAGACTATTGCTACAAAATCTGTGTTTTGAGATCAAAAGTGGAGATGTACTTGTTACACACAAGGATTGTTTGTTTAATGGATAACTATTTATTTCCTCATCCTTTTAGGAAATGAAGGGTGGAAAGACCTTTGCAAAGGTAATATTTTAGCTTTTGAATTCAGTCAATGACAACATGACATGCTGACATTTTAAAAGGAAATGCGTAACAGAACATTCTTATCATAATGCAAATTACAGTTAGTCATTCACCGCCTGAAAGTAATCAGTCCATTGTCTGTAAAGGTGAGGTTAAAGAGGATAGTTAGCCTGTTATTGCCAACTTTGGGTACTGATTGTTGTTTAACACTTAGCTGTCCTTTAACAGTCATAACTAAAGAATGACGTCAGTACCGCATGATTCATTCTTAAAAGGGAAGTACATTGAAAGTAGGGCTGTTGCAGTGACCGTATTACCGTCATATTACTAGTCATGAAGGCGGTCAAATTCCACGTGTCCGTTTAGTCACAGTAATTAGGCTTCTCCAAGCTCTGATGCTGCTGATGGTCATTAGTAGCCTACCCAACTTGCTAACTGCCTGGTACTCAGCACTCTATTGTCCCTCTAATCACTCTGACATCAATGCAAATGTAATCAAAAATCTAATCAAACACTTCATGAGAGCCCATGAGCTCATGTGCGCAACATTTCCATAGGCTATGCAATTGCGCGAGAAAACAGAGTGATGGCCTCTACTAAAAAGGATCCCATCAGCTTTCTATAGGCTAGCCTACTATATCTATTTCTCAACTTTCCTAATATTAAGCACATTGCTTCTCTTTACAACAGGAGTATAGCCTACCTGGCTGGCATGAAAATTAACCATGTGGAAAGCGTCCTCCATTCGCTATTTAAGTGCATAGATTACATGTATTTTTTCCCGCTGCCCCTGTTTCGAGACAGGTGCATGATAATGGTCCATTCTAAATCAAAACTAATTTCACACATATTATTAAGTATATGTAAAGACAAGATTAAATCAAGAATAGTCTGATTGGTGACAACATTAGCCTATCACTTGTGAATTATATATTATCACTTGTGAATGATGCCCAGCATAAGAAACAGTCTTGTTTTTGCTACTTTTTCAAATCATAGTAGCCTAGCCCATAGGCCTATATGTTTTCATAAGGTTTGTATCACAACTAAAGTGGCCAAATAACTAAATCTGCTTTATAAGGGGTTTAGAGCCTAACTGGCATACATAAGCAGCGCGTGAGTTTCAGAGTTTGGGGAAGATCATTTTCAACATAAAAATTAACCTTATAATAATAAAAATAATAAAAGCATTACATGCATAATCGCATTTGCTGTCACTTTGATAATGGTGTTTTCCCGCTAATGGAACATTTGTGCTTATAGCGTACTCCCATGTGCGCATTGCTGCGCTTATAATGTGAAGAAATACCCTAATAGTTTATCAACATTTTAAGCTAAACGTTCTGATCTGTTGCGTCAGCCACATTGCCTAAACAATTTTTTTTTAAATGCTAGTGGTTGTATTAATTTGGGATCTATCGCATCCCACAACTGTCCCAGACTATGTTTGGAATATTTATTTCTCGCACAGAATAGAATAGGTTGACTTTTGTACTATGAGGGATAGTAGATTGACATAGGCTATTACTTTTGCCATTAGGCCTACTCATCTTGTTGGCTGACGAAAAGTAAATGTGGACAGTTCTTCCAATATCTTCAATACGCACCTCGGAATTGGATAAGGACGCGCGCAGTTGCTTCCCCGATGTGTCTGTCTTCACTTGTAGCCTGTGAGAAAGACCCGATCACATGATGGAGAGCCATGTGAGTGAGGCGCTTCGGAGCGCGCAGCACTCGGGGAGAAGGGCACAACGCAGCACTCCGGGCCAAGGGCACAACGGCCACTGGCCGAAAAAAGGCATGGATTTTTTTTGGGTGCATTACGGCCACAAAGGGGATGCACCGTGAAATTCGAGGCATTATCAAGTGCTTGTCAAATTGTGAGTGAGAGGCTAATGAAGTGTGTACAGCCTGCGCAAAAAACTAAGCAGAGCTCATGCCTTTCAAGCAACTTTTTTCAAATCATCATTAGAGTCACATCATGCAGCCTTCCTTACAATGTATTAAAAATCAAAACATATAACCCAATGTTTGTAGGACAACTAAAGTTACATTAATAACTCTAAATTAAGCATATAGGAATAGCTATTTATTTGTTAACTGCTCAACACAGAATAGCTGCATGTTAAATGAACTAGTGTAGCCCACAGCCATTTGGCATAGCCAGATCAGGGACTAACATCAGGACAACTTAGAGTATGCTATTCTGTTCTTCTGAAATAGACTACATTTTCTTCATATCATGCTTCTTTAGACCTGTCTAAAATAAATAATGGATTTATTGTGAAGGTGTAGGCTATATTACATGGATTTATTATACTTTTTTCAAATGTAGATGTTCCAAAGGTCTGCATCAGTGGCTTGTAGGCTATGCTTGGAAGCCAGGAGGTGCTAAATGTGTTTATGTTAATTAACGGTCAATTACCGTGAGAGTTATTTGCTTGACAATCACCGGCTGATGAAATTTCGTGACCGCCACAGCCCTAATTGAAAGTATGGGAATATTAAAGACCACTACAATAGTTTCTTACATATGTGATTGTTAGAAGCAGAGTGCTCTGTATTATAACTCTATGGAACTGAGGCTCTGTTGCCAAGCTGTTTCCATAAACCTGAATATATCTGTTCTCTCTCTTTACTGTAGCTGGGTTTTGCTGACCTGAACCTGTCCGAGTTTGCTGGCTCTGGCAGCACCACGCGGCGATGCCTACTAGAGGGTTACGACACCAAGAACTGCAGACAGGACAACTCTATACTCAAGGTACAGTTCAGTACAGTTAGACAGGCCTCCAGAACATCGACAGTACGGGACGTGTTTATGACACTGGAGTCTGTCCTACTCTGCCCTAGCCTACTTGGCTCTGTCCTATAACTCTAGAATGAGGTGCCCTACTTGTCTACAACCGGAACCACTGATCTTAAAGGACTGGATAGATGAAAGAAATACACTGATTAGCCTACACAACTTCAGCTATCCAGCCTGTTACTAATGAGTGTTCATGAGGGAGAGGAGACCAGGAAGGGAACCATGTGAGAGTATTGGGTCATAGCCAACATAGCCAAGTATTGGCACACATTGGGAGAAAGCACATGGTTAGCTATCACCCTCCTCCGCCCCCTAGTCACCATATGTTTACTAATGTGTATGGGTAAACAGTTCGTAACCAGGTATGTAATACCACTCAGTACAGTTCAGGATGAGGTATTCTACATTTACATTTACGTCATTTAGCAGACGCTCTTATCCAGAGCGACTTACAGTTAGTGCATACATTATTCTTTTTTATTTTCATACTGGCCCCCCATGGGAAGCGAACCCACAACCCTGGCATTGCAAACGCCATGCTCTATCATCTGAGCTACCTCCCTAGTGATGCAACTGCTCTGACATGATATTGGAGAAGTACCTGTGCTATGAATGTATCTTGTACATGCTTCGGCTAGAATTTGTACTTAGACACAGGTCTAGGATCACTTCATCCTATTTCATAGGGCCTGTAGATGTGTATGATCCGTGCTGACATTTTTTGCTGACATGTCTTTGTCACAGGTTGTCATTAGCACACAGCTCATGTCTGGGGACCCCTGCTTTAAAACGTAAGTGCACCTTTCATTACCCTTTTCATTCAATCCATTTGGTGGGTTACATCACAAAACGTTTTTAGGACTTCACTGATTTTGGATCAGCGCGACAACTGTAGGATTAGCATAGTGGAAATAAATGCAGTTTTGGCCAATTATTCAGTAAAGGTAAGTAGGAAACATTGATGTGACTGACAGACAGACAGACAAGTCTGCATCTGGCCAGACCACAGACACACAGAGCAAACCACCTACCTACCTATGCATTCAGCATCCTGTCTGAGTACACCCAGACACTGCTGCTAGTTCTGTGGCTTTATGAAACCGAGTCACAGAAACACAGGGGGATAATTGCCATCCCATGTTTGTAAAATGGTTATTTTGGGAAAGTTCAAGCGTTGGCACAGTTTCCTCAGCACCACATGAACGATTTGAAGTCAATCATACTTGTGGACTCAATCAAGCCGACTTCTGCCATTGAACATGAATAGCAACAGTTCTATTGTTTAGATATGCAAAGGTGAGGATAAGAGAACTTCCCCACAGATTCTGTCTGGCTTCTGTTGTTAGAAACAACTGATTTTAGCATGACGTGCCCACACACTCCTGGCAGCGCTGAGAACGTGTACATGGACGGCTACGCCTTTTACTATGGACACACACGTTAAAAAAACGCGCACACGGAATCACACTCTCTACCGCACCACCCCTCTACTCTCTCTCTGAACACGTCTCTCTATTGTCTGAATCCCACAGTGGAGGAAACAGAATGGAATATAACGTTTACAGAGCCTTTATATAGCCTTAGAGAGCCTTTATTGAGTGTTTATTGAGTAGACAATAAAAGCCTAATGTGTCTGAGAGTGGGGTAACTGAGTCACAGAGTCACAGAGGACGACAAGCCAGAATGGCAAACAGGAAGACTCTGGACATTCTGTACTCAGCAGTATTGAGGTATAATTTTACTATGGAGGAGGGGGTGAAAATTTATTAAAAATATACTGCTGGACTTAGAATCAGTCCTCACTTATGCAGTGACTGTTGAGTGTGGGAGGGTTGCCTTGGCTAAGGCCTCTAATGACACAGTGGAGAGATTCTGGGAGAAAGCTGGAGTGTCTCCGAATGCTCCTCGGTGTCCCCCACAGAGTGTGTGTGTATGTGTGTGTGTCTTTTACTGAGCTTTCCTCCTACAGAATGTGACTCACACACAGTGTGTGCGTTGGGCTTATTGTAAGAGCTCTGTGGAAGTGAGGGGAAAACTTAAAACTAGCTGTTATTGGCAAATTGTAAAGTATTTTGTCTCTCTACCACTGTCTCTCTCTCTCTCTCTCTCTCTCTCTCTCTCTCTCTCTCTCTTTGTCTCTTCTATATAATTTGAGTCCACCCCCTCTCCAATCTTGAGTTAGACCGGTTCATCTAACAAAAAGAAAAGAAATGAGACGTGGTGGTTTCCTGTGTTGTGAAAGTGGGGTTATTAAAGATGAACGCAAGCTCAGCTAACCGGATATACATCTCATAAAAACCTCTTGCTGACAGATCAGCACTTCTGATAGGATATGATTGTGTTCCAGTTCCACAGAAGAACTTTGCATTCACAGTTATACTTTTTTTCTGAAAGGATGGGTCACATTATGGCTTTAGATGTTACATGCATGATGTATGTATTCAATTAAGCCACTGACTTTCAAATAACCATTTGGACAAACGAATGAAAGACTCAAACCAACCAACAACCATGCATGGTAGGAAGTAGTAGGTTTGGAAGATGTGGTGTTGTGTTTGTAAAGCAGCTGATCTGCAGCTCATTGAAAGCAGTTGATGTGACTGACAATGTCCCTGTGTCCCCTGCAGGCCACCGTCCATGGCCATGAAACTGGGCCTCCAGCAGGCTGAGGCAGAGTGTCTCCACAAAGACAGGAAGGGAGGGGACACACCCACACCCTGCCTCCCCATCCCAGGTACACACACACACACCCAAACACACACATACACCCCGCCGGCTCTGGACATATAACACTTTGATTTAACAGGGTTTAATCCTGCCATCCTTGTAATCAGTAATCATTAGTGCTAATGTTGTGCTGATGTTGTGTTGACATTGTCCTAATGTTGTGCTGCTGTTCCCTCCTGCTCAGAGCCCCCAGGGAAGTGTTCGTCTGTTCCTGATGAACTGGGAGCATGTGGCCATTCTAGAACGTCCAGCTACGCCAGCCAACAGTCCAAAGTCTCAGGTAGCTAGTAGCTACACACCTCGTCTGAACCAAATATCGATGAGAAAAGGCTATGACTTGTATCATGAACTAAAGAAGATATGAGTAGTAGGTATGAATGTCTGAAAAGCTATAGCTTGCTGTCAGAGTTATCGTTCTGGTTGTGAAATCTGTGGCTGTCTGTTGTGTGGAGGGTAACATTGCCAACTCGTTCCCAATAGGCTACAGCACAGGTCACTCGCGCTCTTCCAGCCTATCAGAGCTCACGCACAAGAGGAACCCCTCAGCGGGCTCTGCCTCGACGGGCATTGCAAGCATTCCTGAACCCAGCGAGGACCGGGGGACTGAGAGGGGGGAGAAGGAGGTCCGCTCTGCACCCCCTGTCTCTGTCACCTGTGCCTACTCCCCCATGCCTGAACATCCCCCCACCCCCGCAAAGAGCTCTGCCTCCTCAGAGAGACTGAGCAGGTAATATTCACACACACACACACACACACACCTAAATACTCATCTCTGACCTTTCAACAAAGTATCACAATGTAATCATCAGGAGTCCTTCTGCTCCATCTCATCCACCCCTGCTTTTTTTCTCACGTGTGTGTGTGTGTGTGTGTGTGTGTGTGTGTGTGTGTGTGTGTGTGTGTGTGTGTGTGTGTGTGTGTGTGTGTGTGTGTGTGTGTGTGTGTGTGTGTGTGTGTGTGTGTGTGTGTGTGTGTGTGTGTGTGTGTGTGTGTGTGTGTGTGTGTTGTGTGTGTGTGTGTGTGTGTGTGTGTGTGTGTGTGTGTGTGTGTGTGTGTGTGTGTGTGTGTGTGTGTGTGTGTGCGCCTTAGGCATCGGATGAATCAGAACTCGGTGGAGGCTCAGCTGAAGAGAGTGGATGCTACCCGGGTGGATGCTGACGACATCGTGGAGAAGATCCTCCAGAGCCAGGACTTCAGCCACAGCCTACTGGACTCCAGCGCTGAGGGTACGTTCACAATCCCTGGCTTTAGTTCAGATGGATAGGGCTAGGCTTAGCTCAGTGGGTTATCAAGGGATACCACACTGTAAGGAATAGGGAAAAGGCTTTATGTAGAGACTTCAGCTTCTGCCTTGTAGTCCAGTGCAGAGAATACTGTCTTTATGGATACTATTAGGAAGAGAGGGCGTAAGGGAGAGAGAGAGTTCAGTATGTAAGAGGTTCAGAACCTCACATACCTCCCAGATGAGTCTCAGCCTCTGCATACGCCAGCCATGTCAGACTGCATGGCGGGTAGATACAGCGTAGCTACGGTGGTTAAAGTGGTACTATTCAACAAGCCATGGTCACTCTCTTCCCCTTTATCTTATTTATAGTGTTTCGGTGCCTTTGGTGCCCTCAGAACAGCCTCAATTTGTCAGGGCGAGACTCTACAAGGTGTCGAAAGCGTTCCACAGGGATGTGTCAAGTTGGCTGGTTGTCCTTTGGGTGTTGGACCATTCTTGATACACACGGGAAACTGTTGAGCTCTTTTGTCTTGCCCATTCACCCTCTGAATGGCACACATATACAATCCATGTCTCAATTGTCTCAAGGCTTAAAAATTCTTCTTTAACCTGTCTCCTCCCCTTCACCTACACTGATTTGAAGTGAATTTAACAAGTGACATCAATAAAGGATCATAGCTTTCACCCGGATTCACCTGGTCAGTGTATAGCTGTGTTCAAATACCCATACTAACATACTGTATACTACATACTTAATGAGTATATACACTGCTCAAAAAAATAAAGGGAACACTAAAATAACACATCCTAGATCTGAATGAATGAAATAATCTTATTAAATACTTTTTTCTTTACATAGTTGAATGTGCTGACAACAAAATCACACAAAAATTATCAATGGAAATCAAATGTATCAACCCATGGAGGTCTGGATTTGGAGTCACCCTCAAAATTAAAGTGGAAAACCACACTACAGGCTGATCCAACTTTGATGTAATGTCCTTAAAACAAGTCAAAATGAGGCTCAGTAGTGTGTGTGGCCTCCACGTGCCTGTATGACCTCCCTACAACGCCTGGGCATGCTCCTGATGAGGTGGCGGATGGTCTCCTGAGGGATCTCCTCCCAGACCTGGACTAAAGCATCTGCCAACTCCTGGACAGTCTGTGGTGCAACGTGGCGTTGGTGGATGGAGCGAGACATGATGTCCCAGATGTGCTCAATTGGATTCAGGTCTGGGGAACGGGCGGTCCATAGCATCAATGCCTTCCTCTTGCAGGAACTACTGACACACTCCAGCCACATGAGGTCTAGCATTGTCTTGCATTAGGAGGAACCCAGGGCCAACCGCACCAGCATATGGTCTCACAAGGGGTCTGAGGATCTCATCTCGGTACCTAATGGCAGTCAGGCTATCTCTGGCGAGCACATGGAGGGCTGTGCGGCCCCCCAAAGAATTGCCACACCACACCATGACTGACCCACCGCCAAACCGGTCATGCTGGAGGATGTTACAGGCAGCAGAACATTCTCCACGGTGTATCCAGACTCTGTCACGTCTGTCACATGTGCTCATGTGAACCTGCTTTCATCTGTGAAGAGCACAGGGCGCCAGTGGCGAATTTGCCAATCTTGGTGTTCTCTGGCAAATGCCAAACGTCCTGCACGGTGTTGGGCTGTAAGCACAACCCCCACCTGTGGACGTCGGGCCCTCATACCACCCTCATGGAGTCTGTTTCTGACCGTTTGAGCAGACACATGCACATTTGTTCTGGCAGTGCTCCTCCTGCTCCTCCTTGCACAAAGGCGGAGGTAGCAGTCCTGCTGCTGGGTTGTTGCCCACCTACGGCCTCCTCCACGTCTCCTGATGTACTGGCCTGTCTCCTGGTAGCACCTCCATGCTCTGGACACTACGCTGACAGACACAGCAAACCTTCTTGCCACAGCTCGCATTGATGTGCCATCCTGGATGAGCTGCACTACCTGAGCCACTTGTGTGGGTTGTAGATTCCGTCTCATGCTACCACTAGAGTGAAAGCACCGCCAGCATTCAAAAGTGACCAAAACATCAGCCAGGAAGCATAGGAACTGAGAAGTGGTCTGTGGTCACCACCTGCAAAACCAGTCCTTTATTGGGGGTGTCTTGCTAATTGCCTATTATTTCCACCTGTTGTCTATTCCATTTGCACAACAGCATGTGAAATATATTGTCAATCAGTGTTGCTTCCTAAGTGGACAGTTTGATTTCACAGAAGTGTGATTGACTTGGAGTTACATTGTGTTGTTTAAGTGTTCCCTTACTTTTTTTGAGCAGTGTACTTCATACCATATACTATTAGTTCATTTCAGTATACTGTAAACGAACGGTATCCTTTCAGTTGAGTATACTAGCGCTTCGCCTGTCTACCGGAAGTTGATGCTGTTGCTGTGCAACCTCTTGCTAGCTTGTTGGCATAAAAAATGACTAGCTAGACATTTAACGATTTCGGGTGTGTTCGTAAATTCAATCTGGAGTGCCAGAGTGCGTAAATCCAGAGCGTTGTCAGATTGTCAGTTCGTAAATTCAGAGAGTTTCGCTCTCAGAGCGTACACTGGACGCTCTGGCCGAGGAGTAGGGTTGATCTGAGCGTTCTGACCGTTGGCTAGCTTGCTAGCTACTTACAGACACAAATGAGAGAACACCTCACTCTGACCATTTTACTTGCCCTAGCAGAGCTGGTTAGGCTGTTTTCATGTTATCCAGAACGTTGGTGACTGTAACTGTGCTGCTGGCAATTACGCTTGTTTTTGCCAACGTTTACTTACACCGCCCATATTCAACGGGTGTTGAGCGTTCGTAAATCCATCAGTTATTCTGCGCTCTGGCACACTCAGACGAGAGTGCTCTGAAATAGCCAGAATTAACTATGTCCATTGAGAACTCACAACGACTATACCACTTAGCTAAGAAATATGTGAAAAATCAAATCAATAAACGTTGGGTAGTTAAATAGCATATACTTAAAATACTGCTTGGCAAGTTCGATGTGTTAGTAGCCAACTAACGTTAGGACGGTAACTAGCTAACATACTGGTACATACTGTAATGCTATGCGGTTTGTAAGGATAGCATAGCTAACAAATTGTTAGCCAACATAACGTGTAATGTAGCTTATTTGAAAAGTCATTACTTTATTACATTGCTCAACATTTTCTTAACATTTGTCATAATTAGTTAAAGCAATGAATTTGTATCCTCTCTCGTCTGACTTCGGCTACATATTTTCCACCATTTTCTTCAAATCTGAAAACGTTGTGAAGCCACGCCTATTTTCTGAAGAATTGCATTATGGGCCATAAAAGTACGGAAATAGTGTCCACTGCTTGTATACTTCGTATTTTGACGAATTTAGTACGATATCCGGGAACTTTTGGCATACTAACTATATCCATACTGACCAATAAGCATACTACATACTCAATTTACATCACAAATAGTACAATTAGTGGGGTTAGTATTTGAACACAGCTTATGTCATGGAAAGAGCAGGTGTTCTTAATGTGTTGTATACTAAGTGTATATGGAGACTGTTTAGTGGCAAAAATAAGGGGTTAAATGCATGTTAAAAAAATATATATATATATTATTATTATTATATATATTATATATATAAATACAAATATCCTGATCTTTCTTATATCTCTGACATATACAGACACTTCAGAACAAACTTCCTTTTAGATTTTTTGTTCCATGTAGTGAATCTGTTATTCAATGCGTTTGTATAGGCTAATAGCAGGAAGGCCAAATCAAATTTTTCATAAAATATATATTTTTTTAATTGATACATCAAGGGGTCTTAAAATTCAAAATCAAATAGCAAAATGGTCCTTGGTATGACCTTCTTAAAACAATTCCATATAGCTTAGTAGAACCCCCCTCCCCCAGTTTAGACAGAGCTTAGACTGTAATGGGTTAACAGATTACTAGATTTGCCATTTAATATCACACATTTCTAGTTCTTTGCTGCTGAAGCGTTGTCTCTTTCTCATTGTGAATAATACTCTTGTCAATAACCACATATTTTTGATGGCTAATGGTTGCTTCCTAAGTAATTTTCACACTTGTGTTGATTGACAGTAACTTATTTGTTTGTGCGTGTTACAGAGGAGGGGCTCAAGCTGTTTGTTGGTCCTGGTGGAAGCACGGCGCTGGGAAGCCAACACACCAGGTTGGTGACATCATTACCTAATGCATCAGAAGTGGGTGACTCCATAGAAATAGAATGACACAACAGCAGGCATTGTCACTGAGTCACTGATATTTCACATTTTTAACGGCACAAGGGCCAATCGATAGTTAAATAATATTTGATTAATAGACTGTTTGTTGTGAAGAGTTTTTCAGTAACGCCCTTTCACTTGTTTGTGTGAGTTTTGACTGATGAGATAACACGTGTTTGTCTGGTGTTCTCTTTCAGGGTTGGGGCTGGGCCCTACGAGCAGGTGGTGATCAAACCCTAGCCTCCGGGGGGAGCGGACATGTGTCAGAGAAGGTTCCACAACACCACGGGGTCTGACAGGGGGGCAGCAGTTTTTCCACCTCTCTGCAGGACAAACATTTGTTCCAACAGAAGTCCTAGTCTGATGAGCAGAAACTGTGTAAGACTGCTCCCCCTAGTGTTAAAGGAAGGTGACCTGAGTTTCATGACAACTTGTTTTTGAGAAGAAAGAGGAGGATATATGGACTTGAGTGCTGTCGCACTTAAACTGTGTGGAGCAGTATAATGTTCTCTCTACCCAGAGGGGGTAGTCTTTCAATTCTGCAGGCCTTATGTTCAATGAAGACACATTTTTAGATAAGTAGAAGAATACTGTGGTCTTACAACAAAAAGGGCTTGTACATTTTTTTATGGAAGTCAAATCCTTCCAAATGGTTCTAGGTTATTACTCTGGGAGGTATGTTGTAATTTACAGTTTTATTGTTCCGTATGTTGCTGCTTGACATGTTCACTGTGTAAAATGTGCGGGGGTGTAGTGGAGGACAAACGGTAGTTTACCTACCTTTTACGGAAAATGCATTGAAAGTATAGGGAGCGTTACTTTTTCTCACCGCAACTGGCGATCAGAGTTTATCTATGTATCTTTTTTTTTTTTTCACTACATCACTGCAAATGTGTAGTGTTTCACATGCGCGCACACACACAGGTGTTTTAACTGACAAGATGTGGCCATGAGCTGATTTCATTTCCCACAATGACCTTAAAACTGACTAAAGAACTATACACACACAGGTTGTGTGATGTCATCAACCTACAGGTGCCCTATTCTGTCATATGAACAAAGAGGAACTGACAGTATGTTTCGCTATACGTGAAGACTCAAGCAGGGAACATCATTAAGATTCTATAAACAGAGAAATAATATATGTTGCCAGATGGTGTTGAGGAGGAGTGTCAACATCAGATGGAGGTGACGATGTCCTTGTAACTGTGGATTAGTTTCAAGCAAGACCTGTAGGTTGGTGTTTAGTTTTTTAATCCTCATCAAAACGGTTATATAGTAGATTCATTATGGTCTATGATCCCAAAATTGTATTTGTAAGTATTTGGAGAGGCCTCCTTGCGCAGACAACAAATCAGACGTTTATTTTCTCAGAAACCTTATTTTGATACTGTAGTAGTAAATAGTAGGGAAAACTGATTTAGGGACAGAGAACATTGTTGACATTTTGAGAGTGGAAAGTGGGGCAAGGGCAGGTTCACTCAAGGAAAGATGGAGTCAGTCAAGGACAGTGATCAAACTAGGATGTTAGAGTTCTGACAAGCATCAAGCATCTGCAAGGCCAAATGTGACTTTTGTTTTGTTAATATTGTTTAGTGCGTTGTTGAAAAGTGTTGCCTCATTCAACCTCACATTCAATTAGCAGACCAGTTCTTGTGTTTGTGTATGTTGATACCGTCTGCATTTGTCAGTTTTTATCGGTATGAATACAGATTAGAGAAAGAATATTCTTCAGATGTTCATAATGTTACATTTTTAATGACTTTCTTATTTGTCCACTTTACCACAAATGATACATTTTACAGCATGTGTCTTTATGATGTTGGTATTCTACTTTGTTGTTTTTACGGTTATTTCTGTAGATTGATGTTGCAAGTGCTGGTCCCACATTGTTTAATTTTCTAAATGTTGGAAGATGGTTATTTCAATACTGTATCCCAATTCACAAACACATGCTGTGTTGTTCTGTAAAGTACCCTGTAAAAAAAAAAAAAAATGTCACTGCACCTATCCGGTGTATGTGACAATAAAACATCTTAATAAAACAATTCCATTTATTTAAGAAACAATTGTGCTCTCGCTCAATAGCTTTTGTTCTTTTTCCCTTTTCTCTGCTAAACTGTAGCCTACTTTTCCAGCTACAAAAATCGAATTAAAGTTTGATTGCATACATAGATTTGCAGATGTTTTAGCAGGTGCAGTGAAATGCTTATGTTACTAGATCCAACAGTGCAGTAGAATGTCTCGCGAATACAATACTGATACAAATACACAAATAATCAAAAAAACATTTAACAAGAAATAACAATCCAAAGTAGATATATTAGAGTGAACCTGTGTGAGAATCCTGAATATAAATATGTGGTGTGTGTATAGACATGATATAATATGGAAAATAAAAAGGTATGCACGGTAGTAGGTATATTAGGATGAGCTATGTTGAGAATACAGTATATACATGCACAGAGTCAACAGTCCTGGAGGGCAGGCACCGTGCCCCCTGTGATGCGTTGGGCTGACCGCAGAGCCATTCTGTTGAGGGTGGTGCAGTTGCCGTACCAGGCGGTGATGCAGCCCGACAGAATGCTCTCAATGGTGCATCTGTAGAAGTTTGTGAGGGTCTTAGGGGCCATGCTGAATTTCTTCAGCCACCTGAGGTTGAAGAGGCGCTGTTGCACCTTCACCACGGTGTCGGTGTGGTGGGACCATTTCAGGTCCTCAGTGATGTGCATGCCAAGAAACGTAAAGCTTTTGTCCCTCCCCACTGTGGCCCCGTCGATGTGGATGGGGGCGTGCTCCCTCTTCTGTCTCCTGTAGTCCACGACCAGCTCCTCTGTTTTTTACATTGAGGAAGAGGTTAGAGCCTGGCACCACTCTGCCAGGGCTCTAACCTCCTCCCTGTAGGCTGTGTCGTCCTTGTTGGTAATCAGGCATACCACTGTCGTGACATCAGCAAAGTTGATGATTGAGTTGGAGTTGTGCGTAGCCACGCAGTCGTGGGTGAACAGGGAGTACAGGAGTGAGCTGAGCACACACTCCTGTGGGGCCCCCATGTTGAGGATCAGTGTGGCGGAGGTGTTGTTGCCTAAAATGGATACTGATTTTGAAACAGTGGATCCATGCTGGCTCAAAAAGCGGTTATATTACTCCTGTCATTAGTACTCAATGCAGGGTCGTGTGGGGGTTGAGATAGCCCTCAGGGCTGCTTGTCACCGCCAGTCCTGCCTCTGCATCGCAGGGTGATATGCTTAAAAAAATGTTTTACATTTTTTAGTCATTTAGCAGACGCTCTTATCCAGAGCGACTTACAGTTAGTGAGTGCATACATTATTTTTTTTCATACTGGCCCCCCGTGGGAATCGAACCCACAACCCTGGCATTGCAAGCGCCATGCTCTACCAACTGATCTACACGGGGCCTTACAAAGTACGGGAGGGCAATGGCTGGCTGCCATGGATCTTTATACTATCACAGGCAAGGAGGGAACATTCCTGGAATAATCCTATTTAATTTACAGAGCTGCTGCAATAGATTGGGATTGGGATGCTGAGCCCAATTTGTGCAGCATAAAAAGGCCCATATATTATAGCAAGGAGGGGAGGAATGGACACATGTAGTGAAGAACTGTCTTTGACTCCAGCTTTTGAATGTATGAGCGAAGGCATTTGCATATTCTTGATTGTCAGAGTATACTGCAGTGATTGAGGGGGAATAGTTGGAGCAGGGCTTGAACCACCAACACTACCTCCTGTGTCATAAGGGCGCAGACCTCATGGCAACAATATACAGTGTGCACTAACTGTAAGTCACTCTGGATAAGAGCGTCTGCTAAATGACAAAAATGTAAATAATGGCAGAATCACATGACAAAAATGGAGGAAGAGTAGTAGGCATACAGTGGTGTGAAAAAGTGTTTGCCCCCTTCCTGATTTCTTATTTGTTTGCATGTTTGTCACACTTAAATGTTTCAGATCAAACAAATGTAAATATTAATCAAAGATAACACAAGTAAACACAAAATGCAGTTTTGAAATGAAGGTTGTTATTATTAAGGGAAAACAAAATCCAAACCCACATGGCCCTGTGTGAAAAAGTGATTGCCCCCTACTACCAAATAACTGGTTGGGCCACCCTTAGCAGCAACAACTGCAATCAAGCGTTTGTGATAACCTGCAATGAGTCTTTTACAGCGCTATGGAGGAATTTTATGCCCACTCATCTAAGCAGAATTGTTGTAATTCAGCCACATTGGAGGGTTTTCGAGCATGAACATGCCTTTTTAAGGTCATACCACAGCATCTCAGTAGGATTCAGGTCAGGACTTTGACTAGGCCACTCCAAAGTCTTCATTTTGTTTTTCTTCAGCCATTCAGAGGTGGACTTGCTGGTGTGTTTTGGATCATTGTCCTGCTGCAGAACCCAAGTTCGCTTCAGCTTGAGGTCACGAACAGATTTTTGGTAGACAGCAGAATTCATGGTTCCATTTATCACAGCAAGTCTTGCAGGTCCTGAAGCAGCAAAACAGGCCCAGACCATCACACTACCACCACCATATTTTACTGTTGGTATGATGTTCTTTTTCTGAAATGCGGTGTTACTTTTACGCCAGATGTAATGGGACACACACCTTCCAAAAAGTTCAACTTTTGTCTCGTCAGTCCACAGAGGATTTTCCCAAAGGTCTTGGGGATCAGCAAGATGTTTTCTGGTAAAAATGAGACGAGCCTTAATGTTATTTTTGCTCAGCAGTGGTTTTCGTCTTGGAACTCTGCCATGCAGGCCATTTTTGCCCAGTCTCTTTCTTATGGTGGAGTCATGAACACTGACCTTAACTGAGGCAAGTGAGGCCTGCAGCTCTTTGGATGTTGTTGTGGGGTCTTTTGTGACCTCTTGGATGAGTCGTCGCTGCGCTCTTGGGGTAATTTTGGTCAGTCGGCCACTCCTGGGAAGGTTCACCACTGTTCCATGTTTTCGCCATTTGTGGATAATGGCTCTCACTGTGGTTCGCTGGAGTCCCAAAGCTTTAGAAATTACTTTATAACCTTTTCCAGACTGATGGATCTCAATTACTTTCTTTCTCATTTGTTCCTGAATTTCTTTGGATCTTGGCATGATGTCTAGCTTTTGAGGATCTTTTGGTCTACTTCACTTTGTCAGGCAGGTCCTATTTAAGTGATTCCTTGATTGAGAACAGGTGTGGCAGTAATCAGGCCTGGGTGTGGCTAGAGGAATTGAACTCAGGTGTGATAAACCACAGTTGAGTTGTGTTATAACAGGGGGGGCAAACACTTTTTCACACAGGACCATGTAGGTTTGGATTTTTAATGTGTTTGATGATCAGAAACATTTAAGTGTGACAAACATGCAAACAAATAACAAATCAGGAAGGGGGCAAACACTTTTTCACACCACTGTAAATAAATCGAAGCTTGACAGGTTACTTGTGTACACACACCTAGGACTGATCATATGCAAATGCTTAAAGACACAATAGGCTAGCCTAACACACTTAATAATGGATGGGAGAAAATGTATTATCATATGTAGTATTGTTCTGATTTTTCAAACAACATGATTGTGCATCTCATCGGTGTATGCATTGAGTCAAAGATTTTGAATTCCTCCCTGCAGCAGTCACTGTACATTTTATTTTATTTATTTTTGGTCATTTAGCAGACGCTCTTATC